CCATCTAGCACATCACTCATCCTTCCCTCAGGATTCCTGGGTCTCTTCTGCTCTCAGATTTCCTTTGCCCCTTAAGATAAGAATTGTCTGGTTTGAGGAACTCTCAGATTTCACACTTACAGGCCCAGGTGTTGGTTCTTATTCATCTTCTTTTCAAAGTATAGCTTTTACGATCCCTGATAAAGCTGAGCTACAATATTATGCTTCTGCCAGCAGATGTCATCATCAAACCTAAGTTAATAAATTCTGGCCAGGTGCAGTGGCTCACACCTATAATCCCAGCACTTTGGGAGGACTACGTGAGAGGACTGCCTGAGCCCACAGGTTCGAGACCAGCCTGGGCAACTTGACAAGACCTCCTCTCCACAATAAATCCAAAAATTAGCTGGGTGTGGTGGCACGTGCCTGTAGTTCTAGCTACTTGGGAGGTTGAGGAGGATCACCTGAGCCAGCAGGTCGAGGCTGCAGTGGCTGTGAGCATGCCATTGCACTCCAGCCTGGGTGACAGAATAAGACTCCTACTCAAAAATAAATAAATTAATTAATTAAATAAATAAACTCCAAGTAAACTTTTATAAAATCAAAGTCTTAGAATTAAAATGCCTTATTTTGTTCCATTATAAACTCAATTCATATGAAATTCTACTGATAATGTTGAATACTTAAGGTATAAAGTCTTACAGCAAATAATCCAAGACAAGCTAGAAATCTTAAGTTGATATAAAGGAAAGACTGCAGTTATATTACTAAAATCCAATTTTAAAATAAAACAAATCCAAATAAGCCTGTTACTAAACAAATAACAAATAAGAAGTACACTCTTGCTTGTTAATTACACCAAAGCACAACACATGAAAATTTTACATAACAGATCAGGATGACAATATGTTTAATTGGTGTCAGTTGATAACTAGAATTCATGAAAGGAATGTATTCAGTTATTCAGTCCATGAAACTTTTAAAAATCCTTTAATTCTAGCTGTTGTACAAGAATTGGCTGTTGTTTGGTTGCACAAGAATTTTCTGACAGGTAAGTTATTCCTGCCACTCAAATATAGAACAAACATCTAGTGCAAATAAAAGCCACTGGATGCCTATAAGTTGATATACATAAGAATATCTAGCCTTAATGGGGGGGAAATCAATGCTCAAAGGATTCTGTCAGTGGTGGCTTATTTCCCCAAGATAAAGGCAGTAATATATGTTTTACTAAAAGCAGAATCATGAAGTCATTCAACAGTTATCAAATGCACAAAGTTGTTTCTTAAAAAAACTTTTTTCTACTGTCAGAAGCACTCCCAAGTAAGCTCAATACACTTCTGCAACTGCCTCTCTGCCTCCTTACTCCCAGAATATATCGAGGTAGGCTTACTTGACTCCACAGACATTCAATGATCAGCTAAGTCTCAGAGAGAAAGTATATAAAGAGGTCATGCCCCAGAAGACAGCTAACACAAAATAACAAAATAATGTGTGTTGAAAGCAAAATGATACATAAATTCTAGTTAATACGCTGTTATCAATTCCTTAGAGTTCTACTTATAAGATTACCTCTCCTGGAAAGAGACAGAAAGTGATGAGCATGGCTTTTGTGAATGGTTGCACACTGTGATAACAGAGCAAAACCTTATACTGGTTAATAGCAGCCACTTCCCCCCGCCCCACGATATTTCTAAATAGTGTTACAATTTGGTAAATTTTTTAAAAACAGTACTTGAATCAAAGGGAAGGAGGCTTCTCATCTAATTACTTAACCTTACAAATAAATAAGTCAATGAGAACTAATTTCGAATATTGCAACCCTAAAGAAGTTTGTCCTACAGAAGTAGGTCCTTTCTGCTGATAATGAAAATATGGAGGAACAATAAGAAGAATATAGTGCCCTGATAACAGGCCAGAACTGCCTCTCTGGCTCTAATCAAAATAATAATTTAATGCTACAGATCCAGAATGCCAAAATCTTCCATCTCCCACTCCAAATCCATCCTCCACTGGTCTCCATCCTGCTCTCCCTTAGATGCCGATCCATATGGATTACACTTGCTAAGACTATCCATGGGTCTCTCCTGCTTTTACATGTTTTGCTGTGTATACCAAGAAACCAAGGCTGTGATCTAAGCTCTTTACTAGGCCATTTCTCAGGACTGTGTTTATAGCAAGGAACTCAGAGTTGAGGCAATGTTTCCCTCTGGGACAAGCACAGCCTTGCTTACTGCTCACTATCAGAGTGACGGATTCCCCAAACTCAGTGTTTCTCAGCTGCAACTTAAACCTACAGCACCCACAGCACCCATCTGGGTGTATCACATCACCCCAATGGGAATCAGGGGAGGAGAACCAGTGCAAATATGCTGATGCATACGCCGCTTGCTGTGTTATGAGTAATAAAGTCCTTTGTTTCTCACCCAGTAGCCTTGTATCTTCTGCCAGCACCATGACAAAGTAAGCCTAACATATTAGCTTGTAAAACTCAAATCCAAGACCTGATATACATCAACAAAGCTCCAGTTGGGTTCAATCCAAAGGGAGTCTTGGCATATCAAGCAAAGGAAGAAGCATGAATTCAGAGTATGTATTTATTCCTGCTCCCTCTCTATGAAGTCACCTTGGGCTGCCTTTGTCCTTTCACTGAAGTTCACTGCACTTCTTAAGACAGCCTATTCTATACACAATATCCCTTTTTAAGTCCAGTAACCTCTTCCTCTCCTAATCCCTTAAAGTCTAGAGATGATAACAGCTGCTGCAGCTGCTAGCACTAGGCTAGCACAATCCTTATGGTTTTCCTGTACCCCTACGCATATCTTTGCAATAAGTCCCTCTGTAAATAAACCTTCCTCAACAGACCTAAATTTGAGTGTTGTTATCCATTTCCTGTTGGAACTCTGACCAAAATAAGCAATTAGGTCAGGATCCAACAAGTTGCTATCATGACACCCACTGTCAACCATATACATCCCAAATGACAGTTTCTTGAGGAAGGGTGCCCTGTATAAAAATAACCTGCCTTGAGACAAAAAGTGGGGTACTGGAGGAATAGGTGCTACCACTTCTTTTTTTCTCCATTAGGTCTCAATAAATAGCCTTCTGCTTTAAGAATTAAGACCAGGGTTTAGCACACTTTATCTTAAAAGGCCAGAAAGTAAATATTTTGGGTTTCAAGAGCCAAATGATTTGTGACAACTACTCAACTCTGTCATTGCTGCACAAAAGCAGCAAAAATAGAATACACTAATAAAATAGCATGGCAGAATTCTAGTAAAACTTTATTTACAAAATAAAATTACTATACATTATTTATAAAACTGACTGTAGTATGCTGACCTGACTTAGACCAATGTTGCCCAATAGAAATATAATGCAAACCATATATGTAACTTAGTATTTCCAGTAGTCACATTAAAAAGTAAAAGTAGATAAAATTACTTTTCATCATGTTTTATTTAAATCAATATACTCAAAATACTAACATTTCAATGTGTAATATAAAGAACTGAAAGTTTACTTTTTGTATTTATATCTTCTAAAATCAGCATGTATTTTACACAAAGCACATCTCAAACTGAATACTACATTTTCATCAGAAATACTTGGATTGTATTTAGATTTAATAAAATATACAGTTGAAAAAGTAGAATCACATACTAGAGTTATTCCAAATATACTTTTATAATAACTGGATCAAGTATCAGTTTTCAAATCTAAATTCAAATTAAATAACACTAAAAATACAATTCCTTGATTGTATTAGACATATTTCAAGTGCTCAATAGCCACATGTGGCCAGTGGGTACCATCTTGAACAGTGCAGGTCAAGATAATATGAGGCTAAACGTGACTGGCCTCCAGGATGGGTTAGAGAGTACTGAAGTAAACCACTTCCCTTGCTTTAGTTGTCTAATTCAGGACTATTTGGAACATCAACCTCTAGTGCAATGAAAGTTCTACACTTATTTTCTCAACCCTTGTCTGTATCCTAATCTAACACCCAGGGCTACTATCTTAGATGACTTTCTAGCCTTCATCCCTTGCTCAAGCTGAATCCAAATATGCATGACAGTGCTGACCTTTCTGCCTCACCTGAACTGTAGAACTAGCTGATCTAATTCTTGTCCATATGAATTCCCATTGTGGACTTTTCATCTCAGTTTTGGGCTATCTTGTTCCATAGGCCTCCAAGGAACAACATAATCCAAACTTGCTTGTTCTAAACTGATTGCTGAATTATTACACTTAATTAAGTCAGCAAAGTTAACTGTAAGGATGTAAAGTACCCTTGGCTACATTCACTGTCAGCAGCGGCAGGCTCTCTTTCCTCATCTATCCAACTTCGAATTTTACCTTCTTATTTACCATGTATCCTAACCATGGAGCTCAACAAGTTCTGCTCCTGACCAACTTAGGATATATTAATACATACAAAATAATGTTAAAGCAACTATTCTAACTATACATCTGAAATGCAACTAATTTGTGATTATCTATGAAAATAAGTGGCAGGGGAACAAAGATAACTCTGTATGTCTCCTAAATGCAATTCTGAGTTTGAATCATTGCTACAAAATCCAGACATAGTCTCTTTTTCTACTTCTTTTTGGGAAAGTGATAGTAAGCAAAATGACTTCTTAGCAATTAGAAACTGAATAGAAAAAGAGAAGCATAAAGCATATACAAAGCTAAGTAACCAATACCAATTATTAAAATGTAAGTTAACTACATAATCCTGATAATTTATCAAAGTTCCCACAATTCAAGATTATCTTTTAAAAAAAATAAGAAAAAACGCTTACACATTTCTTTCCGGACTGCTGAAGAAATAGTATGTTTTTCATGTCCTTTCTTTTTAGGAAACCTTCTCCCTTCTAAAAGTCTAGAATTAGATCTATTTTCTGAGTATGCTGTTTCTGAGCCTATTAACAATTTAAACACAAATATGTTAACATTAAAAGAACAATTCAATTGAGAAAAGGTAATCAGCAAAGAAGCATTTAAAAGAATAAAACCTGAATCTTCATTTCTCAAAATGTCCCGTAGCAAAGAAGCACAACCATCAAGCCCCTGCACAGTTTCAGCCTGCAAAGATAAAGTCTTTTAAAATATACTTGTATATAGCATGTTAGTGTTTGGGGAAAAAAATATGTAGTTTAAAATTTCTTTGTTTACAAGTAATTGATTACTGGTAGAAAACATGCTTTAAAGCAACAGACTTCATATTTCCTTAGAGCAATTAATATTTCAACTTTCCATTTTATTCCAGCTTTTACTTGAAGGCTAATAAGTAGTGTGTACTGTATTCAATTTAATCTTACCTGACTTTCCGAATCAGAATAGATGCAACAGCCAGAATCTGCATTACAACGTGCTATTTTTCTTAAATGGGTCCTAGAAAACAAGGTCATTAATATTCTTACAAATAATACAAACTTTTTCCCCAAAAATATAAGTAGTCATTTTCTTTACAGCAAATGTTAGATGAGAAAAATTGCCCAATCATGTATAAGATGGGTTTACAAGGACATTATGAAAATTGTAAAGACTGTTAAACACCAAAATGATTAACACAGGTAGGTATGAAAAGTTACTAGTGAAGGTAGGGGCACATTAGTTTTCTGGAGTAGGCAAAATGTAGACCAGCCCAAAAACCTGAAAAATTTCTTGTGAAATTTCCTGAAGTTGTAAACTTCTTTAAGTACTTACCCTTTCTTTCCACTTGTTAATTTAGCAGGTACAGCATGCTTTCCTGAAGATAATACCTATGACATAATGTATTATGTTATAGTAGACATACAAATATCTTCTATTATATTCCATTATGTTATAGCAGACATACAAATATCTTTCTACTATACTATACATATAATCTATAAAATCTGAAATGTCATTTTCTTTTTTTAATCTTCCCAAACTGACTCTGTACCCATCAAACAATAACTTCCCATCCCTTATCCCCCCAACCCTGGCAATCTCCATTCTACTCTCTATGAATTTGACTAATCTAGGAACCTTATGTAAGTGAAATATTTGTGCTTCTGTGACTGGTTTATCTCATTTAGCATAATTATATTCCAGCTTCATCTATGTTGTAGCATGCCAAAATTTTTGTTCCTTTTAAAGAAATAATAACATTCCATTGTATGTATATATCACGCTATTTTTTTAATAATTGAGATATACCCTAAAAACCCACAATTTTAACTCTTGTACAATAAACTTATTCTATATAAAATGACAAGCAACACATATATTTGCTCCTTAAGTCTACTTAAGCTGAAAAAGAAATTGAGATCTTATTTTAAACCAGAAGAAGTACCTACTGTAGTAAGCTCAGACTTTATCAATCCCTTAATATGTTTAACCGTCTCAACAAGTTAATTCAACACACAAGTTAATTCAAGATATAGAATAGGCAACCCCCTCAAGTCCCCTCCCACTGTGGGAGCTTTTCTGTCCTCTCAATAAATCCAGCTTTCTAAAAAAAAAAAAAGAAAGAAAAAGGTATATAACAGTTCTTAACTCTGGCTCCCTTTATCTATATTCTTTAGAATGCCTGACAAGACCAGCACATGAAAACTCTACCATTCCTTCTTATCTACAACTCATTCTCTCAATCTTTCTTTTTAAACTCATATAGCAATGTTGTTTTTAAATTTTGTTTTAAAAGTAAAATTAGTGGGTTACCTTTGGTGTAGAAAAAAATATGTTTGCTTTTACATGTATCCAATATCTTGGGAGTTATGCAAGAAACAGTTAATTGTGATTGCCTCTGAGAAGGGAAGCTGAGTATCCGGAGGACAGAGCAAGAAGGAAGACTTTATACAGAATACCTTTTATATATTAATAACATTATATCGGATAAACATAATCTTTATTTAAAATACATATTTTTAAAAACATGAGTTAAATTCCCAAACTCACCCTCAATCCCATCCTCCACATGTAGTCACTATTGGCAATTTCATTTATGATTACCTATTTCATCCCAAGAGAGCTCTGAGCAGTTAACTACCACACTTTCTCAAGTTATATAATATTCTATTATTTGCTTAAATATGTATTCCAACCTTCTAAAAATGCTACTCAGAATACATTTTTAAAAACTGGCTTGATAAGAGTTATACCTCTCCTTGAGATAACCTGGAATATGATAAAGGATAATGAAGCCAGCAGTGAGAACTAACACTGTAGGAAATGAGACCTTCGATAATGTAGCTCCACTGGTCTCTGCATCACATTTTTGGCTTCTTTCCCTGTGGTATATCTATTTGGTGTCCTGGCTAGAATAACAATAAAAACCTAAGCCATGGTGCTGTTACACCACAGATCAAGCCTCAAAACAACTACCACAATTACTGTCTTTCAAAAAAAAAAAAGGACAGTGTCTGAGGTAAATGTCTGGCATAATTGTAAGATTATATGTGGCATTTCTCAAAAAAATATACACATAAAGCTAGAAAATTACCCATGATAAAAAGCACCCTGAAACAGTAACTATCATATTGGAATATTTCCTTCCAATTTTCTGCACTTTTTGTTTTGAACTAATAGCACAAAGAAGTCCTATATATGCTTCACCCAGATTCCATGACCCTTGACATTTTACATTTGCTATGTTCTCCTTCAATGTATATTCAGCCTGAAACATTTCAAAGTTGCAGACATAATACTCCTTTACTCCTAAAACTTTCCTGAGAACAAGACCATTCTCTAGTATAACTACAGTATAATGATCAAAACCAGGAAATTAACACTGATACAGTATTTTGATCTAATGTACAGACTTTATTCACATGCTGCCAATTATCCCAATACTGTCCTTAGCAGGAAAAAAAAAAAAAACCAACTCTGGTCCATGTCCAATCCAGGACATGTTGAATTAGATTGTCATAGCTTTTTTTACTCCTTTAATCTGTAACAGATCCTCAGGCTATCATTCACTGACTCTTATAAACCTGACATATTTAAAGAGTACTGGCCAGTTATTTTATAGAATGTTCCTCAAATTAAAATTTGTCTGGGTCAGACTCCGTGGCTCAGCCTGTAATTCCAGCAATTTGGGAGGCCGAGGTGAGGGGATTGCCTGAGACTAGCCTGGGCAACTTGGCAAGATCTCGTCTCTACAATAAATCAAAAATTAGCCAGGTGTAGTAGCACACACCTGTAGTTCTGGCTACTTGGAAGGCTGAGGGGAAAGGATGGCTGGAGTCCAGCAGGGAGATGCTAGGGTGGCCATGAGTGTGCCACTGCACTCCAGTCTAGGCAACGGAGTGAGATGCCAACTCAAAAAAAAAAAAAAAAAATTATCTGATATTTTCTCATGCTCACACTCAGGTTATACACACTTTTGGCAGGAATCCTCAAAAGCCATGCTGTGTTCTTCTCAATACAATGAACTAACACATGCCAGTTTGTCCCACTATTGGTGATATAAACGTTGATTATTTAAGACTGTGTCTGCCAGGTTTTTCACTGCAAGGTTACTACTTTTATCCTTGTAATTATTAAGCATTTTGTGGAGAAATGCTTTGAAACTATGCAGATATCCTAATGATCAAACTTTCTCCCAGTAGTTTACCATCCACTGATTTTACCTGAATCAATCGTCGAATGTTTTTCAAACTACAGCATCTCTTCTACATGTATTAGTTTGTATCCTACTCTAGGAAGCATTTTTCTTCTTCCTCGTTTGTTAGTATGAACTCATTGATTCCTATTTTATTGAATATGTTATGATCCATTATTAACACTTTATTTTGATGCTCAAATTGTCCCAGATTTAATCAGTGGGTGCTGCTTTGAGTTGGTTCCTGAATCATTTTAGCATATCCCTATAATTTTTTGAGCTGTTCCTTACTTTCTGTAACAAGGTGGTCCAGGCTCATCTTTTTTCCTTAATTGTCATAAGAATATTTAATGAGATCTACCTTTTTAACAAAACACAGTATTAACTATAGGCATGAAGCTACACAACAGATTTCTAAAACTTGAATTCATCTTACATAACTGAAACTTTATATCCTTTGAATAGAAACTCCGTTTCTCCCTTCCCCCAGCCCCTGGCAACCACCATTCTACTCTCTGAGTTTGACTATTTAGATACCTCATGTAAGTGAAATCATGCAGTATTTGTCCTTCTGTGACTAGATTATTTCACTTAGCATCATATCCTTAGGGTTCATCCCTGTTGTTGTCTATGGCATATTTCCTTCTTTAAGGCTGAATGGCATTCTACTTATGTACATATCATATTTTCTTTATTCATTCACCTATAGACACTTAGGTTGTTTGTTTCCCCATCTTGGCTATCATGATTGCTGCTGCAATGAATGAGTGCAAATATCTTGATTTCCTGACTTCAATTCTTTTGGATAAACAGCCAGAAGCAGGATTGCTGGGTCAAACGATAGTTCTATCTTTAGCTTTTTGAGGAAACTCTATATTGCTTTCCATAGTAACTGCACCATTTACATTCCAACTAACAGTGTATAAGGGTTCCAATTTCTCCAAATCACTGCCAATACTAGCTTTTGTTTTTTAAATAAATCATCCTAACAGGTGTTAGGTGATAGCTCATTGTGGTTTTAAATTGCATTTCTCTGACGTTGAACATCTTTCCATATATACCTATTGGCCACTTGCATGTTTTCATTAGAGAAATGTCAATTCAAATCCTTTGCTCATTTTTTAACTAGGTTGCTTTTCAGTTTTTGATTTGTAGAAGTTCCTGATAATGTATTTTGGTATTAACTCTTTATCACATATATGGCTTGCAAATATTTTCTCCCATCCTGTGGGTTGCCTTATCACTTTATTAATCATTTCCATTGCTGAGCAGACGATTTTTAGTTTTATGTATCCAGATTTATCATAAAATTCCCTGACTCAGCTTCCAAGCTGGTTGTTTCTCCAAGAAGCTATTGTTCCTTTAGTAGACAAGGGTACTTAGAAACCAAGATCTAAGTACTGGATGTGCTCTTTGCTATTAGGGCTTCCCATCTTTTTCCATATGCATTTTTTACTTAGTCATAATAACTAGATACTTGCAATTTTGAATCTTGTGGGGTTTACTTCTAAATCTTTTTCCATATTAACATTCAAAAAAATGTAAGGGTTATATAGTTCCTTGAGTAGAACTGATATGTTCTTGGCTTACTCCTTTTTTTTTTTTTGAGTTGGAGTCTCACTCTGTCACCCAGACTGGAGTGCAGTGGCCGCCCCCAGCCACCGCAGCCTTAAACTGCTGGGCTCCAGCGATCCTTCCGCCTCAGCCTTTCAAGTAGCCGGCATTACACACCTGGACTAAATCTTTCTATACTAAAAACAGCCTTTTCATATTTAGTATCAAAAGCGTAATTACTTGGTAAAACAAACATCACTGGCAGTTTAATGGCCCTTGATACAAACTACAAAACTTCTCTCAGTTTTGCAGTGTGTATCAGTGTGTCCCATACCACAATACAGGAGAGAATCTGTCTTATTTCACACTTATTTACACTGGGTATCATCATCAAACTTCTAATTTTGTTATTTGAGAAGATTATAAGCATTTCTTAGTAGTTTTTTCTCCCACCAACAAGTGCAAAATTATATTTCCTTTGTAGAATGATTTTGAGCTTGCTATGGCCTTTCATTTCCACAGTAATCCACAACCCTGTGAACTGTCATTAGTTCTGTGAGGTGTAAACCCTACAGTTCAGAACGGTAGCTCATAAGTCATATATCTACTAAGTAAGAATGGACTCTGGCACCAGCCATGTGAGTCTTAAGTCTGTTTCCATCGCTGTGTAACTGTTGGGAAGTTATTTGAACTCTCCAGCACTCAATTTCCTCATTTATAAAACAGAAATACTAGTATATATCTCAAGAGAATATTGTGAATATTAAATGAGTTAGTATATGCAATATATAAAAACCCTTAGCGTCGAATCTGCCACATAGTAAGTGCTATCTAAATATTAGCTGCTATTATTATCACTTAAGATGGGAGCAAACGGTTTTTAAGGGAACTAAAATTTTGCTGCATGTGAAATGTTTTACCAGGTTCTCTCATTTAATCTTCTCAATTCTTTGAGAATAATTTTATATTTATTTATGCCCATTTTATTGCCTAAGGGATAGGAGGCTCAGAGAAATAAAAAGGTTGTTCCTACCGATACCACAAAGTAGTGGCAGAATTGGAATCTGAATCTGCGGTGATCCGTGACTACAAAAACGAGGTACTGAAGCCGAGAGGTCAAGTCACCCGACCAGCGGCGAAGGCGAGGACTCGAACCAGGGCCTGGCACCAAAGCCAGGGATACAGGGAGTAACGGCAATTTAAACAGAATGTATATCTACGGACAGCGCGGTTGTGTTAGGACGGGAAGACTGTCCCCCCACACACCTGTTCCAGCATTTTTAATGGCGCCGTATTGTATCTTTCTCTTCCCAGCAGAGTTTTACAAGTTCCCTCAGCTCGAAAACCCCCTCAGTCCTTCTCCGCCCCCACAGTGGACTCGTCGGGTTCGCAGCCCTCACCTGGCCCGGTCGAGATCCGGACCTGACCATCTCTCGCAGCCTCAGAGAAGCCCTGCCCGCGGGAAGCGAAGCGCTACGGTGAGAAGAATTAACCGCCTTGGACTCCCGGGCTTTCTTGGCCCGCCCCCCGAGCTTCCGCTTCCGGCGAGGAGCCCGCCGAAGGCCGCGCTTCACAGTTTCCGACACGCCGGGCGGCATTCCTCCGGCTCCGGGCGCGGCGCCCTGGGCGTGAGCAATAGACCCCTTCTCTCTCCCCGGCTCGTCACACACTGGCCGCGGTGAGAGAAGCCAACAGGTGGTGTGAGGGGCTGGCCATGGGGCGGGGCTAAGTCAGGGGCGGGGCAGGGATAGGGGCGGAGCGAGGAGCCGAAACGCTGGACTGGGCGGGGCCGGGAACCTGAACACTTGGAAAAAAGAGTTCGCGGTCCTATTACAGGGGTTGCAGTGGAGGGCCGCAGTCAGCTGGAGGAAACAGGGACGAGGACCCGCCAGCGCCAGAGCAAGGGACTGGGGCAGGGGGCGGATAGGTTTCAGAGGAAATTGCGGTCGACTTTTGGATTTTCGCTCTTTATTTTTAGTTCGGCGTCTTTGTGCCTTTTCAGATGATTTTGTTCTTGCTGTTCGATACAAATCAAACATCGGGATCGTTTTTGTAATTCTAATGGCAGTTTCAAAATTATTCACTGTGGCCACTGCCTTCAGAACGGTGCTCCTAAATTGGGATTTTTGGTTTCACTTCCATGCATAACTGTCTAGTCTTCTGTTGAGGTAATCATTGTTCATAAAGAATGACACAGCATTCTTCCCGTTGACATATTGCACTAATTTTAATGGGATGTAGTCACTGGTTTTTAAGGCATAGACTTTGATTTGAATTAGATCACGCTGTAAAAAGCTCTCCTTTCCTTACCCATCCTCTGTTTCTATTACTATTATTATTATTTAAAGTCGGAGTCTCACTCTTTTGCCCAGGCTGTAGTGCAGTGGCATGCTCACAGCCACCACAATGACTTTCTGGCATTAGGCGATCCTTCTGCCTCAGCCTCCCAACTACAGGTGCACGTCACCAAGCCCAGCTAATTTTTTTTATTTACTGTAGAGATGAGATCTTGCCAAGTTGCCCAGGCTGGTCTCAAATCCCTGGGCTAAGGCAATCCTTTTGCTTTGGCCTCTCAAAGTGCTGGAATTACAGGTGTGAGCCACTGCGCCCAACCCATCCTCTGCTTTTAACATATTCACTCAGATTCTGGGATTTGTTTTTTAGTTACCTTGATTTTTTTTAAACGTGTTGATTTTTCTTAGTTAATACATGTATATTTTAGAAAATATAAATAAATAAAAAGGAAAAGACCGCCCATAATCCTATTAACTAGGGATTACCACTCAACATTTTGGTGCATTCCCTCCCTTTCAGATTTTTTCTACCTATATATATGTATAAATGTATTACAACAATATGATATGATACATATTACTGTAACATGAGTATTTTGTCTTAATGTCTCATAATATTGTTGCTCATTAATCTGTTATATAATAATAAAATGGCTGCCTCGTGTTCCATTATCTATTTCCCTGCAGTTTAGAATATTATCCCCCCCACCCCTTTTCAGATTGTTATTTGCTATTGTAAATATCGCTGCAATGAACTGAAATCTGAAAATGAACTGGATGAAGAACAGAGAGAAGAGTATGTTAAGCACGTGGAAACAGCATGATGTTGAGTAAGAGGAACCCAGAAAGGCCCTGTGGCTGAAGTATAGACAATGGGAATGGAAATGAATGTAAGGACCAGACTATGATGCTGTCTTCCTAGACCACCTAAAGGATTTGGGTTACTATTCTAAGGGCAGTGGGAATGTGTAAAAGTTTAAGCAGTGACACAGCGAGTTTTCATGAAGATCAGGCTGCAACGTAGAGCAGGAGTCTGCACTCCACAGCCCCTGGCCACATTCAGTCTGCCATTCTTTGATACTGCCTGGGAACACTTTATACATTTTGAGTTTTTAAAAATCAAAAGAATAATATATTGTGATGTGAAAATTACATGGAAATCATATCTGTGTTATAAATAAAGTTTTATTGGAACACAGTCACACTAATATGTTTATGCATCATCTGTGCTACAACTGCAGAGTTGAGTAGTGTTGCTAGAGACCCTATGGCCCACAGGCCTAAAATATTTACTCTCTGGACCTTTACAGAAAAAGCTTGCTGATCCTTGTGTAAAGGGTGTTTTGGAAAAAGGCAGGTGATTAAGTTCTCCCCTTCCCCATCCATTCTCTGGGTAAGTTCTTCCCTTCCCCATCCATTCTCTGCCCTTCTTTATGCCCCAGGGACTGATCCTTAAGGATGACATAACTCAGACTTGCTGTCCAGCTTCCAGGTCTGTTTAGTTCATAGGAGAGGAGAGAGACTGGGGTATTCCATGTTGACACCATCTGGCTGATGCAATAGCCCTCTAAAACTACAGCTCCTCAGGTGAGACCCTGGAACACCAGTTCTCTCCAGCCTCCCATAAAACATTTGCACCCCATGTCCCTTCAGTCTGAGAGGTACTAGTTATTTGTTAGCCCCTGGGTGCTTGATCACCCCATTGGTTTCCTTGTCCACACTTCTGTAAAACTTTTAATTATTTTCAAAATATAGACTGTCTTCTGTTTCCTACCAGGACCAGAATGAAATATGTTGATAGCTGGGAAGGGACTGGGGAACATAGGGGTGGGGGCAGGGAGGTAAGGGAAGATAAAGAGTACAGATTTGAGAGAGACACAAGAGGCAAAATGGACAGGACTTGGTGAAAGATTTGGGAAGTAAGGTAAGGGGGAGATATTTATGTTGATCCTGGCTTCTGGGTTTTATATCTTGAGCAGTGGGCGACAGCCACATTTAGGAGGGAAGTTTATGAACTCATTTCCCCCCAACATTTTATTATGAAAAAAAAAACACAAAGTAGGAAGTCATTTGGGGTATATTGAACTAGAGAGTACTTTGGAGTTACCCAAGAAAAGATATCAAGTTAGTTACTGGATAGTTGAGTCTGGAGCTTGGCAAAGAGGTATGGGCTGCAGATACACATTTCTAAGTTATATGTGGTAACTGATGCCATAGACTTCTGAATTTGCTCTCAGATTACTTCCTCAAGAAAGTCTTTCTTCTTCCTCTCTAGCCTACCCTTGCAAATTAGGCTGTGTGGCCCTATACTGCGATATAATAGCATCATTTCTCACAGTGATAATTGTGTGATTATGGAACGTGTCTTCCTTAGTGGAATATAATTTCTATGAAAACAGGGACCTACTTTGTTCAGAGTTGTATCCCTAGTGCCCAGCACAATGCCTTGCACCTAGCAGGAATTTTTTAATTGCTTGTTAAGTAAATCCGTGGATCAGTCATTGTTTGAACTGCTTTGCTGCATGGAGGCTGCCAGCTCCTTGAATGCCCAAGGCTCAAGATTATCCAGGACGTGCCCTTTGAGCCCATTCTGGTGGTTTAGTCCCTCTAGTATCATAGGTGCATAATTCTCCTTGGTCTATCCAGTCTTTTATAACTCAGCATATTGAACAAATGACTTTGTCCAAGTGGCTTACCTCTGAAGTGTGAAAGTCTCTATTCATGTTTGACCATGTTCCAGTTTATAGGAAATGACCAAAATTGCAAGTATGTTAAGATCTAAACTAAAAACACAGATTTATAGCCAGGATATAAGGTTCAAAAAGTAAGAGGTTGTAGATAGCACATGATTGGGAGTATGAGCTCCAGTTCTGCTTGGGAAGATCTGAAACTTCCCTGTTCCCTTTCCTCAAGCCATTTGGTGCTTTCTGGAGTTATTTTGAACCCAAGCATTTTGGGCCTTTTGAGATCACATAAAACTTTGAGAAATTGCTCAAAGCTTTGTAATTTTTTTCTTCAGAAAAATGCTAATGAGCACATTTCTGAAACATTTATATATAATGTTATCAGAGGCATTCAGGAGTCTCTCCAAGGATTTCAGGTTGAGTCCTATTCTAACCTAATTCAAAACCAGCCATCCACACTGGAGCATCCAGCTCCTCCTTCTGTTGTGGGGTCCTGGTGATCCTGGAAGCTTTTGGTTAACTATGCATAGTAGGACCCTGACCAAACAGTAACAAGGACAGGAAGGACATAGAGCACAGAGAAAATGGAACTGAGCCATAATCTTTGCATTTCCCACTGAAGCTTTAAATGTATCTGCAGTCTTCACTTTAATCAAAATAGCTTAATTTAGAAAAGAGCCCGCTTTTTTTCTTTATAAAACCCTGATTTTATTGCTTCCTGAATTTTTTTTTAAAGAAGAAATACAAACCATATGTTACAAGGGCCTCAGTTTGACAGTTTAACTGGGGTCATGCGAGGATTCGGCTATTACTGATCATGATAGGGAGACCAGTGGGATTGGTCTGACAAGGGTCTGTAGGCAGTAAGGAACAAGATAGCCAGCCCCTTTGGAATGATCTCGTCGTAAGGAAGAAACTGTTGTTTGGAGACATTGTGCCAGGTTTGAGAGTCAGGTATGAATTTTAGTACAGCACAGTGGCAGTTACGTTTTGTCCTGCAGCCCCGGTGGACTAGTGCCTGACCCAAGGAGAAAAGCAATCATAGTGATTAAAATGTTAAAGATTTGTTTCATTAAAATCTCTGTAAGGCCATGGAGCTGAGACTGGTGGCTGTTTATTGTGAACACTGATGACTTCCTGCCTGAGAGCCTTTTTTCTTGAGTAAAAGAAGCTGGAAATGCAGAAGGTAAATGCCCCTGGAAGCAGCCCTCAGTCAATGACAGATGGGGACTTAGCAAGGGAGCAGCCCTTAGCCTGTGATGGATGAAGAGCTTTCTCACCCCTCACACTGATACATGTTCTCTGCTTTCTCCCAGGGGTCCCACAGTATTGGGGTACAGGGATAACTGGCTGGTTAACACAACCTTTATTGGCATTCTTCCCATTACTGCCTTATTCTTTCCATTGCTCGTAGGGTTGCCTCCCAGATAAACTATTTGCACTTAAATTCCTGTCTCTAGGGTTGTTTCTAGGGGGAAGACCCCATACCTAGACAGAGCCTGAGCATTTATACAAGTCAGACAGACCTAGATTCGAATTCTTTCTCTCCACTGACACTGAACAACAATTTCTCTAAGATTGTTTCTTTATCTGTAAAATGGAGATAATGGCACTGACTTCATAAGATCAGATTGTAAGGACAAATATGAGAATGTACGTAAAGTATTGTTCACAGTAACTTGCATATAGTAAGTGCTGATTAAATATTGGCTATTATCACTGACAGAGTATTTGTAATATTGTTAATAGAGCATAGCCCAGGTGGAAGGGAAAGTTATTTTCCACCCTTGGGGTGACTGCTGAAACAGGTTGATCTGGCCAATGTGCGGTGAGGCCTGTGTCTCTGGTGAGCAGCTGTGGCTTTGCAATGTCAATAGCTTAGAGCAAGCATGCCAGAAGGAGGCAGAGCAGGAGAGGAGGAGGAGGGCGGACACCAAGTGGTGCTTAGAAGATGAGCAATTGGCAGTGCAACAATGGTATTGCCAACTGTGCTTCATCTCAGTAAGCACAGATGGCTACAGTACCATCAATAACTCTATATCTGTGTCCAATATACACTTTGATGGCTGAATTTCATTAGCCTCCTCTTGAGGGATTACTTTCAAGTCTACTGAAATCTAGTTTCTGATTTCAATCTGTTTTCCCAAATGTACAAAGGACCCTTTTGCATTTGTTATGTTTATGATCTTAATTATTTCAGGGTCTTTCAAGTTGGGGCTGGCCCCTCTGTTCCCCCTTTGCTCCCCATTTCCGGACAATATTTCAGTTCTTTGGCCACAGTGAAAGACAAACTGAGAGACACCATGGAACTGAGTCAGGTTAAAGGATTTCACTCATTCTCTAATCCTAATTAATTACAACCTCAGATTTCACCAGCAGTGCTTCAGCCTTCTCAAACAGCCTTAGGTTCCAGGGTGGATATAAATGATAAGCCACTTTGGCTACGAAGGCAGACAGCAGGTAGGATTAGTCGTTGCCCACTCTCTGCAGGTACAGCCCAGTGACTGTAGGGAAGAATTTCAGACCCCCTTTCTTGTTCCACTCTAGGCAGAAATCAAGGGCCACGGTGACATCCAATCACAATCTCCTTTTACCTTATTTAGACACCTAATAGACAAATTTCTCCCTGATTAATGTAGAAAGATATGTGCTCATAAGCTAACATGATTTTTGAGCAAAAGCAACAAGGGGAGATCGTATTACAAGTGGAAGCGACTGACCCAATGACCTTGGCACACCTGGCATTAAGAACCCTAGTCACAGTCTATTAACCTCATCTATTTCCTTCAAGAAAGAAAAATTGGTAAGACCTTGTCAAAAGATCTTAGGCTCATGCAGGGGATTTTCCCTAAAGGGTTCCATAACATCTGTATATGGTTTCTGTAAAAAAAACAAAAACAAAAACTGTTGACATTGACACTTTCTGGAACACTCTATTAGTTCTTCTCAAGGTCATTCACACTAAAGTGATTTATGTTAATCTTAGTGCTAGACTGTAAGCTCCTTGAGGGTAGAATTCAGATATGATTCATTTGTATATGCCAAGAAGCCAGCATGGTTTCTGGCTTGTGTAGCCAGGTTTGGCAAAAAAATAAATAAATAAAACACATTTGTTGTTTATCTGAAATGCAAATTTAACTGGGTGTCCTGTGTTTTATCTGGCAACCCTATTCCTGGCACATAGCTAAGCTCAAATATTGGTGAGTGAGCGAGTGAATAAATAACTAGTATAGTACCAACAAATGAATAAATAAACTGGTAACATCTTCAACTGACCATGTAAAAGAAAGTCATCTAAATTACGACTAACAATCACAAACCATCAAAACCGTGTCTGGTTAACATTCTACCTTTTAAAATCTAACAGTCTGGCTTTGGTTTGAGATGCATTTTCTATCCATGCTTCGTCAGCTACTTTTGCTCAGTGTCCATGTGGGAAGAATACTAATGTGGTAATGAAGGTGTTTTGTTCCAACAATTTCACATCTTAATTCCACACATTTCTGATTTCATATGTTTGCCTAATTGTTTATTAGTGTGTACTAGTTGTACAAGAAAATTGACTTTGGGTGGTATGTAGGGTTTAGTCATTCTGAAGTACAACCATTTCTGTATCTTCCTTTAAAATTGCCGAAATTGTGCTTTTATTCCAGCCGAACCCTGGGGTTTTGGGTAAAGTCATTCACTTTGATTAAACCATCAGGACCAATTCTGTTAGGAAAAATATATATCTGGAGTTAGTTCATTTGACAATTAATCTTAAGAAAGAAAATATACAAAAACTCTCTCACTCCAAATTAATTCTGCTGCTGCTCTGGCCCTGATCACTTTCTTTCTCTCTTAACTCTTGACTGCCTCCTCCTCCTCCTCCTTCACCTTCTACTCTGCTGGTCATAGTTAGCGTGAGTCAGAGTCACTCGGAGGGCTTTTGAAGTCACAGCTTCCCAGGCCTCACCTTCAGACTTTCTGATTCCATAAGTCCAGGGTGCAGCCTGAGATTCTGCATTTCTAACATGTTCCCAGCTGCTGCTGCTGTTGGTCTCAGAAACACTCCAAGAATCACTGTCTTTTACCATTCTTTTCCTTCCTCTACTCCTTCTCCATCCCCTTTTCTTTCAGATCTGTATTTCATGTTCCTCAAAATATTCCTCTGTTCCTATAGCAGTATCATATAGTAACGTCACTATATCCTGGCCTGCTAGATTTGTTTTCCTGGTGATATTCCACCCCCCAATTGGTAAAAGTTAACTTACACTTCCTGTTCAATGTAGTTTAGCATTCTGCTGACGTGTGATGCTGAAATCTCCCCATCCATTTCGGCAATATATGTGTAGAGGAACTGGAAAGTGCTGAAAGGGATCCGGGCAGGCCCACTGTCATGGTCACAAGATAAAACCTCACACACTATCTTGAGAGTTTTGGCAATGGTCTATAAAACAGTAAGAAAAAAATGAGGAGAAAGTTACTCCTCCAGGCTAGATTTCTGAGATCCATTTAGATACAATAAAGAAACAAAAAATATTGCTCTCCTAAAATGGAGTGGGAATGATTAAAGATTCTAGAAAGCTTAAAATTTTTACATGAAAATGTCACTTAGTCCACTCTAAAAAATACTGAGTATCTATTGGGTGTTTGTTTTTTTTTTTCTTTTTTCTTTGTTGGAGGGCTACTCTCAAGAAATTAAGTTTATAAGTTTCTGAATACTTTAAGGGATTTGTCACTGTAGTCAGAATAGCCTCACTAAAGGAGGGGAATTTATTTGCATTCTATACAATTAGAATTGTTGTTCTCAAAAAATAACAGCTGCTGGAGAGGGTGTGGCGAAAAGGGAACACTTCTACACTGTTGGTGGGAGTGTAAACTAGTGCAACCTCTGTGGAAAGCAGTGTGGCAATTCCTAAAAGTTCTAATTATCAACCACCCATATGACCCCACAATTCCCCTACTGGGAATATACCCTGAAGAACTCAAATCACTCTATA